CTGGGTCTTCAAGAGTTTCCTAAAGATAGACAGGGACGCCCCTGTTTTTGTAGCATTTGGTAGATCCTTTCACTATCATTTTACATAAGAAAAGAGTCTGGAGTGTATCAAGTGTGGTGTAGGCACTGCTAGACGACAATCCGAAGTGACCAAATTGTGACATAAGACTTTGCAAGTAGACGGAAGCTGTACTGTTAATCTTCATAAGAAATGTGCAAATACGAGCATGCACCTCCTACATGTATTCGTTACTGTAATCATTACTGCGTTTGGTGTCCAGTTTTTGTACAGTAGTTTTGCTGTGCAATAAACTTCTCGAAGTTCATTCAGCTATGTTAGTTCCTGTAGTTTTTAGTGGCTAACCATAGTAACATGGAATACTATTACTTGTAATCGGCTGAAATTCAACAATATCTGTCTAGATTTCTACATCACACTTAATATCTAAAGAAGACTATTGAGGGATAAAGTAATGTAAATTTACATTCTTTAAAGACTGGAAGTGGAGGTACAATTAGTTGCAGGCCTCACTAATATCTTTTATATTTCAACCAAATTAAACAATTTTTTGCATATTTTGACTTTACTTATTCTAAGAGAATAGAAGGGAAACAAATGTCAGTATTCATTCTTTTGTCTTGAATCGAGTTGGTACCGGTCAATCCAGCACATATTTATGCACGTGTTTACACATGTTTTCAGCATACAGACACACCAGCAAAAAGAAGAAAATGTGGAGAGACAGTCTGACAGAGACAGAAACCTCCAGGAACAGCCTTAGGTTTTAGCCTGATCCAGGGCTGCAGGAGTTTAAAGAGAGCAATGTGGCCTAGATTACTGTGACATTGACATACACTGTACAGTGCAGCACAGTAGTGTTAGTAGGCTGTGCATCTTCAAGGCAACAAAAAGGTAGTGGCATATTTTACAATGTCAACAGGATTTTTTTCAAACTTTTGCTGCAGATATGTAGTGTGAAGTCTTAAAAGTTATGTGTTAACATGAAGTGAATCGGGCACTGGTGAATGGATTTCCCTCTATACTGAATCAGGGGAATAACATGACAAAAACAGTGGTTCTTTGATTATCTGTGTATCTACATGTGGACATTTCTGCAATGACCCATAACTAAAAACGCTCTACTTAAATACCTTCCATAAACACTCAGAACCTTTCACTCCAGCTCAGTAAAATGTCTTCTCATTATGTGTTTCATATTTCGCCATTAATCTAGTCTCAGTTATTTATTTATTTACTAATGTTCCCAAAAAGATTTTCATTTAGGTTGCAAGATGTTTGAAAATATGATCACAAACTCAAGTCAAGCACAGTATTGCAGTATGGTGAAAGAGTGCAGTCAGGTGGGCTGACTAATCAAGCGTTGAGAGAGGCTATCGCTCACCTCTTAGTGTACCATGGATCATTTCTTGCAATTCCTTTTGTGGGCACAGAAAGGCATCAGTCACAGTAGAAAGTGTGACAGAATGTCTGTGGCCTGCCACCAGACCAACATTTCATACTGCATGATACTTCATTAACAGATAACAATCTGCAGGCTCAGGGATTTGTTCCAACAAACCTTTAACTTCGTACTATGCCAACCATATTCCTGTTGTTTCTCCACAGATCCCGTGGCGAGATTATAGTCACAGCTGAGCTGGGCCTTTTACCTATTCATCACGAATATGAAAAATGAGAGGGGCATTTTTGACCATGCCTCAGAATACTGCAAAAAGTTAGAAGGGGGCATGGTGTCACATGGTGTCTCAGAAAATGATTTTGAGTCAGCAAGTGATGGATGTGGAGGATAAAAGAAAAGACACGCCAAAATAAAGATTTATATAGGCCCTCCAGCTTGTGGCTTCTTTCAGGGAAGGGCTATTGTCTTGGTCCTTGTCTTTGGTGGTGAACACATTGGCCATTTTACTTTTCACCATCCCTCTTACTTTGGTGTGAACACCAAGTAGAAGCAATGGAGGAAAATAAGTAGTTATCGGCGTTCATGTGACTGGTTAATGACATATTGTGAACTTAAAATACAACTTGTAGCCTCTTATGAAGCCAAGAATGACCAAAGCCATGCTGTGCAGGATAAATGAAATGTGTGCTTTTTGCTTAACCTGCACATTCACTGTTTGGATTATTTGACTGGACACCAAAAATTAATTTCTCACATTCTTGATGAAACTGAAGAAATATGTCAATTTGGACTGGGTGTCAATTTGCTTGGGTGAAAAAACATTTGTAGCTCTTTATCCATCCGTAAAGAACTGAAAAAACCTTCAACGTATGTAGTGGGATATTTAATTTATGTCTGCAATTATCTACTTTAATTAAGTAATGTGAATGGCACTGTGAGTAAAATATAATAGCAATCTCGGTTTTATTTTACTGCACCAGGAGTACACTTACCGTGCTGCAGAAATGTTATTGTGAATTCCAAATAATAATGTCCAGTAAGTTTATCCCAGGTAGTGCCCATAACACATTATTAAAGAGATTTTTACCCCTTTTTTTGAGTGGGGTGTTTGAAATGTTCATGAGTAGACAGGGTCTTACCTGCAGTTGAAAGCAGTCAAAGCACTCTGAATTTGAAGAATCACTGAGGATTTCTGACAGCCATGCCAAGCTAACCGTTGCTCGTATCAGACCAGGGACGCCATAAAGAGAGATAATCGCCATCTGAAACAACTCAAACCTCACAAATTTCAAAGATTTTTCAAAATGCCATGTCTAATGCTGAATAGATGCTTACACCATGTCACTTTTGCATCAGATTTTTATTTACTTTGTTACTTTTCTCAACCCAAGAACAAATAAAAAGCCACAACACAGCCATGTTGCCATGGCTCAGCAGGAATTTGCAGAGGTCCTCCCTCAGAATTTGTCCAATTTTCCAAACTGACTGCTGTCTACTGCAGGCAAGTGACTGACAGGTCATGATTACTTCACACAAACATACATTAAAGATAAGAAACATTGCTTTCAGCGAGTCTTCATGATAAAAGATGTAGACCTTGGTTTTTAAGTGAGCCTTGGTACTCCTGTCAATTTACCAAGCTCCATAATTACAGCTGGGGGTAATACTTTAATTTCTACTTTATATCAAATTCCTTTGGCAGGAGTAATGTTTATTACAATATAAAAATATCAAATGTCCAGTAACCTTCAGTGTTGGATATAATGTGTAAGGATCGGTACAAAATATGAGGAAGTGATGAGTGGTTGTATGATTAACAGCATTATTACTCTTGAGGTACTGTATTTCACTCATCACAGGAGAGAAGTCACACTTTGTTATGGCAGCTAGCCTTTAAGCTTAATGACATCAAGATTTTTCCAAATGTTCAGAAATGTACTGAGAACCACATTTTCTGCAAAAATAAGTATAGCAACTACAACTTGCATACAACTTGCTTTTATGTTGTTGCGCGACATCATGATTAGTCAAGACTAAATGACAGCAGATCTTACTTTGTGTTGCGACATATGGTGATGTTCCATGTTCGAGTGAAAGACATAACTAATTTAATTTGATCAATTTTTTTCATAAAGAACTAGAATCTATAGATAGGTATAGAAGGAAAAGAAACCCACAAACTTTGCACAATTGTGGGATACATGTATTTCCCCCTTTCACAGTTACTGAGTAAGCAATGTTAAGAACTAAGCTGAGGCATCAAACACCAACAGCCTATCTGACCTGCATAGAGCCCCACTGTGGGGTATAATGCAGCATTGTACACCAATTACTTAAAGACCCATTCATGCAGACACTAAGTAAATGCATAGGACTGTAAGATAGGGGTTTGGGGTTGGATACCATTTACATTACTTCCTTTTCCTTTAACAGTTGAACAACTTACACTCAAATTTAAATATAGTGAGAAGGAAAAAAACAGCAGATACAAGTATTTCTGATTAGAGAAATACAAACAAAAGTTTTCTTTTTTATTTTTTTATAGCCTTGTGTGTCTCTCCATAAAAATAGTTCTGCTAAAAATAAAATGTGAAAAAGAAAAAAAGAAACAAAGACGTAATGTTTCATTGAAGTCCATGGAAAAGCCCCAAAATCAGACATTCATTTGTTTGCATCCTGTCTTCCTCCAAAAGCAGAACGGTCAGCAAAGCTCCATACCACTGCAACAACACATGTCTTTTCCTTTGAGAAATTAGCATTGGAATGAGCCCTTGGGGAGACAAGTCAGGCAACTGCTGTAATGCATTACTAAATTAGCCCTAAACACTACACAAGCCATTAAGAAGCATGTCAAAACCTAAGGGAAAAAAATACAAAAATGCAACCAATAACAGAACAACCAAATTGCAACAACTGTTATTAGCCTGCATTCCACCTTTGTCAGCTGAGCCAGTGGTGAATTTTGTGCACACTAAATAAACACATTTAGATACGCTACAAAAGAAGCACTTGCACTGTCAAAGAAACACAGCTTAGCTCCAGCAAACAGAGGGTTAAACCTTAGCTGCAGAAATTCACTGCAGTCCAAAAGCATTTGGCTGATAGCTACTGAACAGCACAATCTATCTGTGCCATTTTGCCACTATTGGACAAATGTTTGTATCTATCTAGATTTTGCTTGTGTGTCTTTTTGTGTTCCTTAGTTTGGAAATAACACGTTATTGCATATAGTGCTTTACACAGTAAAAACTGTAGCTTACATTTTGGACTGTATTTAGAAACTGGTGTCTTTATAAATATTTTTTTCTTTTTTAATGTGTCCTAAATATGGCCAGAAACAAACTAAATGCCCTTTTTTCTACAGTAGACAGTACCACCTTCTTTGTCAATCAAAAATCAATTTATTTTCTTTGTCTTTTTTCAATAATGTCACCAGTTAATAGAAAGTAATTTCAAATTACTTTCTTTTCTAATATAATCTTTAAGTTTTACCACTGTCTTACAGTGCTTATACACGTATGTATATATATTAATATATATATATAAATATATATATATATATATATATATATATATATATATCACATTTTCTAGATTTATTTATATACTTATATATCAGCATGTACAAGAAAAAAGTCTGTTTTGTACTTTTGTACAAAAAGAATTACCATTTTGCTTTTTGTGCATTCTATTGCATGGACTGCTGAGAGCATAAAGGAGGAAAGGTTTAGGCAGAGTCAAAAAAAAGATCCATTGGGAGCATCACTCAGATTTGGGTCTCCTGAACCTTTTCCTTGCCATGTGTAGTCTTTATGAAATAGGGATCAGCTATGGTGCTTATGTGGCTGTGACGTTGTCCGACTGAGCGAGAGAGAGAGTTGCCCTGGGTCCAGTGGGCTCCATAGACTCCTTGTCTGGATGATGAGGAAGAGGACACACATCCAGGCTTAAACGTGTTGCTGTTGTGTTCCACTAAAGTTGGAAGTACCAACCCTGTGTCGTCTGAGCCACTAGATCCGGATGTCAGGGGTGGAACTGGAGGAACCTGTGCCTCCATCTGAAAAAATTCTGGTGTCCCACTTACTGCCACTGTACTCCTCTGTTGATGCCTCTTACGCAGTTTATAGAAAGCTATCAACATGGCTGCTGCCATTAAAGTAACAGCTACGAAACAGCCAATGATGATTTTGGTGGTTTTCATCTCCTCATCCAGGCTAGCGGCTGGTCCACTAGTGACTCTGGCAGTTGGAACTGACACCTCCCTTGGAGTCTGAGTATTTTGGAACAACACAGTAGGTGTGGAGATGAAGACAGGTTTAAAGACAGAGGGCGAAGCAGGGACAGTAGGCCTGGGTTTAGGGGTCTCCTCCACTGTGGGCTCAAACACTACCACTGTGACAGTGGTAAAGTAGGACAGATTAGAGGTGTTGAGTTCGGCATTGCTAACATTCAGGTAGGCTGAGGCATTAGAATTTCCTGCCATGTTGCTTACCATGCATGTGTAGACCCCCGTGTCTGATGGGAGGACATTTGAGAAGTTGAGAGTTCCATCATTAAGAACAGATATCCTTGGGTGAGCTGTGCCATGGGTCAACACAGTCCCGTTGGGGAGAAGCCATCGAACTGAGCTCATGGCAGCGGTGCGGCACTTCAGTTCTGCGACCCTTGCGGCTGAAATGTTAAGATCTCTTGGTGCATCAAGTATGTATGGTGCAGAACATTGAAAGGTTGTCTGATCAATCTCCACCAAGTATTTTCCTCTAATGTTGGTTGGGGTGTGGCAACGTCCACAGCATGTGGAATTTGTGGGAATGTATTCTCTGAGCCACCAGGAAAGCCAAACAACATCACAATCACAGCGCCAAGGGTTGTGGTGTAGATGTAGCTCCACCAGGTACTGTAGAGGCGTGAAGAGATTATGGGGAAGGGATGATAGATTATTATGGGCTAGGTTGAGCTCCACCAAAGCTGTGATATCATCAAATGCATTCCTCTCAATGGTTGTAATGGCAGAATTCATAATCCACAGTTTACGTAGATTTTTTAGTCCCCGAAAAGCCCAGGGTTTAAGTTCTGGAAAAACATTCTCTGAGATCTCCAGTTCTTCCAATCCAAGTAGAGGTGAAAGATGAGGAAACTCTCTCAAATTGCACATTCCCAAATTCAGATACTTCAGATTATGGAGGCCCTCAAATGCTCCATCTGAGATGTATTCCAACTTCCTCAGCTCTCCCAGGTCCAGTCTCATGAGTGAGGGGACACGGTTAAAGGCGTATGAGGGAATGCTCTCAATTGGATTGTTTCTGAGCCACAATTCTCTCAACTTTGATAGATATTCAAACGCCCCGCTGGGAATTACTGTCAGTCTGTTGTCAAACAGCTCCAAGGTATTGAGACTGGTTAGCCCATTAAAGGCACCCACTTCAATTTGCCTGATAGCATTCCTGCCCAACTGGAGCACCTCGAGATGATGCAGGTGTCTGAAGGTATCTGCCTGAATAGTCTCTATGCTGTTTTCCATCAGGTTCAGGTATCTGGTGTTGGCCGGGATGTTCGGAGGAACCCTGACCAGGCCTCTGCGTGTACACACCACTTTGCCGAGCTGGTTAGTGCAGGAACACACACCCGGACAGTTCTGTGGACTATTTGAGCCCGACTCAGGGCCTGTGGACTGGCACATACTGAGAGCAGGCACCATGAGGGAGAGCACGGCGAGCAGGGCTGTGTTCCAGGTAGGCTGCACACTAACCTGGCCCAAAGGACTCATGGTGTGGAGGGCTCATTATTCTGCATGGTGGGGGGAGATGGCACACACCAAAGGACAGACCACTCTAGCCTGGTTGGAGCAACTCAAGGCTCCCAAGTTCCATCGACAGTGCGGGGAGATACTGCATAAACAGTTTTGAGTGAAGAAATGACAGAAAAAAGAGAAGAGACAGAATGATAGACATTAATATGAGAGGAGCTTCAAAAGAAAAGCAGATCAACAGTAAAAAAAAGATTTTGAGAAACAGTTTAAGTGACGTACCTCATTAGTTTGAAAGGGCTTCTTTTTTCCACGTTCCAGCTGTTAAAAGCAACAGTCATGCATGGCATTCATTTGTAATTCCTTCCAATGGAATAACAGCAGACAGATGCTTCTTTTTTCCTTTCGAAAAAGTGAGGAGGCCCTCTTTTTGCCAAGGGTACGAAATGGCTCCAAATATTAAAGACGGTAAGAAGCATAGAAAACACCAACAGCCCTAGGTAAGGCCATAAAGTCTTTGCAGGACCTAGATCCCTTCTGCCTCCACTAACTTCCCCCTATTAGGCTGCAGACTCCGAAATGCAGCTCCACTGTGGATAAATCACAATGATCCATTACGCAGTAAACTGTAACAGAGGAGGAGAAAAGATGCAACTAACTGAAATAAGAAAAAAAAAAAAAAAAAAAAACAGTTCTGTCAGCTCCCGGTATATTTTGTTGGCTCGTCCGTTGGTTGCCTGTTTGGGTGAGAGACCTCCCTCACTGTGACTTTGCCAAGGGCTTGTCGGTCGCTGATTAGCCCTGTTGTGACAGAGACTGAGAGACAGAAAAAGGCTAAAGAACTCCCGGCACAGTCCTCCCCCTCTCCTCTCCTCCTCTGTGTTCCTCTTGCTTCCTCCTAATGTTAGGCTGGCCCTGATCAGAGCAGCTGCAGGCTGCCGTGTGCACAGTTAGCAGTAATCCGTCTACTCCTCCAGGGGGGAGGGGGGCTCAGGGTGGTGGGAGAGATGGTGGCGCTGTGTGGGGGGTGAAGAAGGGGATACGCTGCACTGTCGGATCTTTGCAAAAGGCTGACGGAGGAGAGAGAGAGAGAGAGAAAGAGAGAGAGCGCACTCTTGTCCTCTCCTGCAATGAGAGAGAGGAGGGAGGATGACGCTGGGAGGATGAGAGTGGAAGTGGGATCCGTATCTGTATCCATAAAAAGACAAAGGTGTTGAAGACTCTTCTTTTTGCTTGTTTTTTGTCCCCCGGACTGTCCCCTGCAGGCTGCTTCTTCTGGCTTATTTGTTAGTAATTTCTCCAAGGCTGAGGTAGTAAGTTGTGGCAGTTAGCCATGTGTGTGGCTGTCAGACGTGCGGCAGGCTGGTGTACTACTGCAGTAGCCAGAGTACAACAGAGAGAGAGGGAAAGAGAGAGCTCAAAAGAAAAGAAGAGAAAGAGCCACTGACAGATCAAGAGCAAGACAAAGAGTGCGCAAAGGAGAGCTTGCAGGACAGAGATGGAGAGCCGCACGACCACTCTAATAGACAGCCCACCGTCACAGATACAGCAGGAGCAGCATAATAATCTTCATCTCCTCTTCTTGTTTATTCTACAATCTCTCTTTTATGCCCCCCCTCCGATCTGTGTCGGTGTTGCAGGCGGCTAAGATGCTCGCTCTGCTCCCTCCCTTTGTCCTTCAGTAGGAACGTGAATGTACTGCTGACGCACTCCTCTCAGCTGCTCAGCCAGCCTCAGAGCAGTGCATTGGTTTGATGCAGTGTTCCCGTGTATTAACACATTCAACCTCCCCTCCTCCCCTATCCCCCCTTATACCTTCCTTCACTGTCTTCACTTCTCTTTCTCTCTTTTCAAACATGTTCAGCCGCTTGCCTTCAGTTTTCATTCATACTCTTACCTGTTCCTCCTCCCATATTTCATGCTGTCTAGACACTATCTCTCCATAACCAACAGTTAAAATAAAAACACTCTCATTCCAATGCATCACACTGAGACAAAAGCTCAAAATTCATTTCCAATTTAAGAGTGGTTACACGTTGACAGACTTTTCCCTTGTCTATTGAGCAGAGTAGTTTAGCAGAGTCGTCAGATATGTGCATGTCTTTATTCCTTTCACCACTGCAAACAGAGGACAATCAAGGACCATAAAGGAAAAAACTGTTATTTGTTGCATTACATGTTCCTCATTTTGTGAGATGCTTTCAGTTCGTTAAGTGTGTGAGTGTTTGAGTTTGGGGGTAAGGTCAGGAGTTCTGTGACATCACGGAGGGCTGAAATGCTGACTCTGCTTCTTTGCATCTGCTGGCCACTCTTTTCTGCAGAGAGGAGAAAGATGAAAAAGCTTGCAAAGAGATATCTCTTGGAAAGATGAGAGAAAGACAGAGATAGAGAGGAAGAGACTTACCAAGTGAGTGGAGGAAAGAGGTGGGGCTGAGCGAGAGATATATCCCTGTCCTTGGTGAAATAGGGGGAAAGAGCCTATAGAAAGAAGAAATTAGATAAATAGTAACAGAAAGGAAGAATGAGCAGACAGATGAGTGAGCAAACTGCAAGGAACTCTCTTCAGTGAAATGGCATAGAATGCTAGAGAGGAAGAGGGATGAGGATTAGGAGTGAAGAGTAGGAGAGGAGGGGGGTGCTGATAGTGGTGGATTAAGCATCATTTGAATGCAGGAGAAGGAGTCTCCCTCTCTGCCTTTGGTTAATGACCACATTCCCCCTCTCTTCCTCCTCCATCCGATCACATTTTGCAATTGAGGTTTGGATCCATAGAAAGGAAAATAAACACTTACCACGCAAACAATAATAAATGTCCCCCTGTCATTTCCAATTTCATTCCGATTTGTTAAAGTAAAAAGGACATGGCTGAAATTTTACACTTCCCCATGTAAAGACCTTATTAAAAAATTCATGTTCCATGTCTGCATTGGATGATTGAATATGGCTGAGGTGATAATGAATCTAACTTATTTGATGTGTGATACGGATGGGGGCAGAGGCATGTTGCAAGTGTGAATCTGAAAGTGATCCCTTGTACAGATAAATAAAATATTGCACTAAATAAAACATTATCTTCAGTTATTATCTTCTAAATATGTATCCATGAAAATTTAAAATGTCCCCTTCCACAATTCTTTTTCCTTGGGACACATTCATCCTGTGTCAACACATTTATGTCAACAGTCAAAACAATTGCCCCCGCCTTGTGAGAAGGTGCTTGGACAATAATTGAAAGTGGCAAAAATTATTTGAGCGTTTTTACATTTATAAGAACAGTCAAAAATAAAAGGAAAAGATGGACTGGACAAAACTAGTTTATACTTTGCATCACATATTGACTTTGAGAGAGTCAAATAAACATAAAACAACAAAGGACCAGGTGAGAAAAACTCATTCATTTCCTTATCTTCTGAGGTGCCAGACAGAGTGGAGAGTAAGGAAAAAAATGACAAGTGCAGGTGATGGTCCTGATTAATTTCTATTAGATATGGTGGTTTAACGTGAAGATTAAAGAAAGAAATAGATTATAAAAAAAGGGAAGAGCCTGGTGGAGAAGATGATAGAAGGATGAGGGAGAGATAAAAGAAGTTAAGGTAGTGTAAGAAGTTGGTCAGAATATTGATGGCTATGGTCACAGTGTTAATGCTATTACATGGTGCATGGAAAAGGTCACTTAGCACTTAATGTATAATGTTTCCTCCTGCTGTCATTGTACTCTTTCACTGTGCCTGTGTACATGCTTCCATAGTCAGCTTCATGGAGTAAAGAATCCTGGTCATAGCTCCTAAGGACAGGCTATTCCTACATTATTATGAATCTATGTTCATGATAAGGATTTACTGCCATCTAGAAATAAATATATTGTGTGCAGTAGACTCTCAGCAGGTTTATGGAAATACTATTTGGATGTCCATATTTCATGCTGCACTGCCAATCACACAACATAAATTATTTTATCAGCTCTTTTAATGTTAGAGAGAGGCTTTCCAGTTCGAATCCCTGGGGGACCGGGAACTTTCTTGTGAGTAGTCTGCATGTTGTCCCTGTGTCCTCCCACCTTCTCCTTCTACATGTAATAAATAACAATATAATTCTCATCCTCAGTCCAATAAAGTTCAATGGCCCTAAGTGTTTGGGTAAAACAAGTACAATTCCCAAAACTGAAAAAGAGTTGAATGAACAGGTATAGATGTGTGTTGATTTGTAAGAACTGTTTGTTCATGTAGTCCTGTTGGTAAGCCAGTCTCTTTCTCTCCTGAAGGCTTGAAAGTAGATTTCTTTAACTACTTAATGTCATCTGGAGGGACACTGTCACTTTGTCGGGTTTGCCCTGTAACTTACACACTCTATTAATTTATCATGTCTGGTCACATTTAGCTCTGCCTACTGTAATCTGAAACGTGATGACTGGTAGCAGTTGTTTATGCAGTGGTTAGAGGCTGGGCACTGGCCTTGTGAACTGACCCCGTATTTGCTGGCCAAAACACACATATCATCATAGTCAAGACTCTAAAAGGCCAAGACTAATAGTGCTTCTTACCAGAAGCTAGCCCTAGCGGTCAATTACGATCACACTATCCTGCCACTGCTAATAGCACCCCTTCAGCTCGCGTACAGCAAACAGCAGTATCTACTGCTTAGTTACTGCGACTCTTTGACCAATGCCACTTCAACCCATCCTGTAGTTAGAACTGATGGATCTAATTGGTCGCTGGCACTTGCCATTACTTTACCTTAGCTACTGTCTGATGTCTCCTGGCCCCGGTGGATCCCTCACAACTCAGCCTGTGCTTAGTGTGGCAGGTCAGCAAAGTGCTGGAGCAGCATTTGGCCTGAGAACAGAGGAGTGGATGGTGTGAGAGAGGAGACCGCTGGAAGCAGATCGATGTGGCCTGTATTCATTAACCCCCGCTCACAGCTCCCTTCCCTCCCCAATCACAACCCCGCCATTTTAGGACAGCAGGAGGTGATTTATTAGCTGTCCTGGCTCAGTCAGCACCATCGACCAACGGTCTGAGAAGAGTTGACTCACACCAGGATATACTGATTCCCACACTGTGGGCTGAACTTCCTTCATGATCTGACACATCTGAAAGAGGTGCCATGCAACAAAGAGCAGGATGGGCAACCTTGATTTCTATTTGGAGGCTTTTTCAGTCAGTGAAAGAAAAAGGCTTAATGCCACAGGGGTGTGATAGCTATACAAATCACAAAGACACAGTACACTTACTTTTTTGAGGGTGTCTGAATTATGAACAATTGGATGTTCTATCAGGTGTAAAAGTATCATCTTCATCCTCATCTTCATTCATGAGGCCTTTTCCAAGGTGTCTACAGACAGAAGTGTAACTAAATCCAAATTAAAGTTAAAATCCCACAGATGACATTGATGATTTTTACCTGGTGTGAAGTTTAAGATGTCATTTTAAGAGAAAGAAAATCTAAAAATCTAAACTTCCAAAATCTAATATGAATTCTTCTAACACCTGGTACAATTCTTCTAACACCTGGTAACACCTGGGACTGGTATCTGTCTTCTTACACCAACTATAGGCTTTTAAATATGTATTTAGAATAGAAAAAAAGAAAGTCTGGCTTCCCAGAAGTACATGTTTATATTTGGTTGGCCTCTAGCTAATGATTACATATTTTCAGACATATATATGCCTAAAATATTCCGCTTCCTCCTCGAAGCTCTTTGAAAATTATTATTGTCTCTTATTTAATTTGTATTTATTTGCGCCTGGGAATATCATGCACAAGTGTGTAGAGTAAATTGATTCCACTTGAATATTTAAAGAGTTTCCTATTTATTTAGGATAGAAAAATACCTTTGATGCATTGTTAACTAACAAAACTTACGATATCAAAACATATATTTATAATACTGAATATGTCACATTACCTCTGGATACGTAGATGAGATAGTGTGCAAACATTCCTGAGCACAGATTTGACAAAAAACAACAAAAGAAAGGCAACACATTCATACATATGTCAATTAAAGCCCCCATTTTACTTCCATACTGTTTTGGAAAATCGAGCCCACACACAGTAACAGCTGCTGCTCGGTTTTAGAAATCCATCATACAAAAGTCACATCTTGTCTGACTAACAGCTCTTAACAAAAACACCACTGCTCAATGGATTTTATTGATTAAATTCTGCTTAGAACCCGATAGTTGT